TCTCCTGCAGGGTTGGGGTAGGAGACGTTAATTTCCCACACACGAGATTACTGTGTGATGGATGTCCTCCCCTGGGGTGGGTTGGGTGGGTTTATTAGAGGGCCATGTGTTAGAAAACTCTTTACTGGGTTAATCATGTATCTACCCTCTCGAAATAAAGAACATTGTATTGTATTGTATTGTACTGTATTATATTTTTATTTTCAAGGGGCGATAAAATATCGCAGAAATTTGACACTTTGGATGTTATAAAACTGTCCACTCTACAACTTTCCATCTTTAGTGCATTGTGTGATGTTTTCTGCAGACACGGGTAAACTGCATGGTGGGTTATCCGCCAGGGAAGCGCATCATCCAGCCTTTGAAGAATACTAAGTAACCTCAGTGATGCGTAGCTTACATATAAAATTAAAGCTAAGTTTTGTAGCGCTTTCAATAGTCTGTTTTGTTGTTTTTTTTCTTGCCTAGAATCCACAACCAATGTATGCTGAGAATCCTGAACTGCAGGTAAAATTAGTGTCATGTAGATGACAGAATACGTTTCAAAACGTTTTCCTCAAAGTGATGCGTTCGCTGTCTTCCGCAGGGCCTAGTTATTGATGTGCTGACAAACTTGATTTCCCATGATTGCTCTACGGTCGAGACGTTTCTCTCCGAGTATGATGACGTCATCATAGGTGTCACGAACCTGTTGCAGTACAGGTCTTGGTGAGACTTACTTCTCTGATTCTTTTGTCAGAGAACACGTTTTGTTCATGTCATAGATGTAAAGATGTACAAGTTAAACACAACACATCCAATTACAAAAGTAAACACGACGATAGAGCGCTTTTTGATCAAGATCAAATTAAACAAAGCATTTAGTAAGATGAAAGGGCAATATTAAACGAAGCTGTTGAAAACTTAGAATAAACACACGCTAAGTAGTCGGCTCTACGCGCGAGAGAACGCAACCATTCAGATCCGAAACTAACACTCACTACGATTTCGTCTCTCACTTTTTCTCTCGCTGTTGAACGCTTTTTCCACTTTGAGTTCTCACCGTTTCCTTTGTTATTTCTTTGGTTATATGAAAACTAATATAAATGCTCTCCATTCAATAAGGGATGAAAACCATGATCTTTCTCCAACTTGTGTTTTTCCTCTTTTAGTCTTCAACAGCAGAAGTCTGCACGTTTTTTAGCGACTTTGGCATTTTACAAACAAGGCCTCATAGTAATCGCGTCCCACAATGTTGTAGAACATCTTCTGTGGGCTGTGACCTGTTCTCAGTGTAGGTAAGTGTCCCAAGCATTGAGAAGCACTTAAAAGTTGGAAAAGTTCTCTGAATGTGGCTCATGGAACCACGATCGAGATTTATTTTCTGTGTAGGGCGGTCTAACTATGTTGATAAAACCTTCCAGTGACTTTACACGCATATGAAAACAAACTTAACTTGTGAAAATGCTTTGATTCTGGCTTACGATGTTTAGCTTAATTATACAAAAGTATATTTCCTTCATTTCTGCGGCTAAATTTCGATTTTTAAAGTATGTACACACGAGACAAGAGATCCCAATAAGTCCTCGTGGGTGGTTGTCTTGTGTCGATTAGAAACAAATCACAAAGGAACTAGCAAGAGTTCAGCTGCTATGTGCAGCTTAACCAGCAACAGCTAAAAATGATCGGTTTTTTTTTTTATCTTCTTAACAGACGTGTCAGGGAACAGGCGAGCATAGCACTCAGAAACATATCCAAGAATCCGGACAGGGCATCAGCATTCTCTGCTTTGAGCCAAGTCTCTGTTAGAAAAATTACGTCTCAGAATGATCTAAGTCAGCACTCGGACAGCTCTGGGATGTTTTCATCAAGTGAGAACAACTTACAGTGGCGGTCGTGGTCTGATTTGCCAGGGACTTCAAATCATGGTATCTCGGCGGACAGAGGTTCAGGCTCCAAATCCCAAACAACTGTTTCAGAGTTAACTTCTCTTCTAACGCTTGTATTCGATAGCGATGCACTTTGGAGTAGCGGCTCCGAGAGACAGTTTATATCGAGGACAAGTAATTCGAATGATCTCAGACAAATAAGGCTGAGAAAGATGAATGACTTTACTGGAAAAGAAAAATATCTGAGAAGTTTACACGTGCTTACTAACTGTTTGATGATTATGTCAAATGTGATTTTGATCAGCGAGGAAGTGGATGACCGAAGCGGGGATGAATCTGTTGAAGAAAGGTACGTATCACTCGCATAGGTATTGTGTCGTCAAAATGTCGTCTACATCATCATTGTCATCATAATTATATCATCCTCACACAATTATTATTACATTCAATAACATCGGCCTTCTTTTTAATTTTTCTTAATCTACATCTGCATTTCGGGCATTTGGTTATTTGCTTTAGCAAATGAGAGCAGCTCTGGAGTCGTCGGCCTTTCAAAGCCCGCCACTGCTGTTTATATATATCCCTGGGCCCGGTTGTTCAAAAGAGAGTTAAGTCTAAACCCAGGGTTAAATCGGCCTAACCCTGGGTTAAATTTTAAGGCCT